GTTTGACTGGAAGTATATGGGCGTCAATATGTCGTCGGAGGAGATACTGAAATGCGGTGAAGGCGTCTGTAAGGACTACTGCCAACTATTCGCCGATATGTGCCGTTTGGCCGGCATTCGGGTCAAGAAGATCGAGGGCTTCGCCAAAGGCCAGGACTATCGGCCCGGACATCAATTCAAACCCGGTATGACTTATAATCACTAATCAATTAAATCTTATTCAATCAGTTGTTAAATAAATAATTGTTTAAATAATTAATGAAATGTCAAAACCCAAATGACAACTGCAGGCGAAGACATAACCCACACGTGGAATGCGGTGTTTCTGATGAGCGCCTGGCGTCTGATCGACACGACGTGGGGAACCGGATATACGGAGCCGTCGGGAAGGTTTCAACGAAAACTCAACGAACACTTCTTCCTAACGGATCCCGAAGTATTGATTTGGACTCACTTTCCATACAATGATATGGAGGATAACTATTGCAGGTTTGCGATCAATACATACTGAATGTGATAACACATTGCAATCAATTTATTACATGTTTTTTTGTTGCGAGAAATTCTCGTACTTTTGCTTTCATTGATTTATTTATTTTTTTGTGTAAAGTGTAACAAAATTTTAACTATTTTATACATTCAGTGCACTATTTGGTACAAATAGTGATTATGTAATATTTGTTTCATACGATACAGTAAGTTAATAATAGTAAAAATTTTATATATTGATAAAGTGAATTAATAAATCATTTTAAGTTAATACATTAAAATATTTCAGATGTCTAAATTAAAAGTTTATAATTATAATTTTAATTATAGTACTTTTGCAAAATATTATAATAATTTCCAGGAAATAAGCTAGATTTATATTAAAATTTTAAAATTTATATAAATGACAGAATATTCGGTTACAGAATATATTATTAGTGTACAGTATGTATACACTGTATATGTTTAGCGGTTTTATGTGTTGTTATGTAAGGCTAGGGAAGGAATGTGTGATTTTAGGTCAGTTCAGTAGCCCTTCCCCATCACATACACCACTCTATATAACCCGACAATACGTGTATTG